GATTGCTGCAGAGACCGTATCTGTGTGAGCTACTGCTGTACCCTCAGGGATAACACTGTAGTAGGTCTCCATAGCCAGCAAGTGGTCCCCTGGCAACCCCTGAAGCAGGAGATGCACAGCCCCAGCAATCATGGACCCACCCCACCCCGCCATGCGTCCGTCCCTAGCCCAAGGCCTGCCCCTGCAGTCCCTTTACAGCACCCTCAGTTTCCGCCATGTTCCCACCCCAGCTCGTATAGCTGGGCTCTCAGCCCTGCAGATTATCTTCCTGGGTACCTCTGGATGGACGCTCATCTCTATTGTCCCCTTTGGGACCCCACAGGGGGCAGAGGCACCCATGGCATCACTGTGGAGTCCCTTGTTGACTCTTGAACTCTCTGGAGGGCTTGTGCCTCTCCCAGGCTTTACTTCACACCCAGGGCTGAGAACAGCATGAGGCAAGGTAAAAGCATTGGCCTCAGGGGTAAAATTGAAGACGATGTAAAAAAAAAAAAATGCAGGAAGCAAGTTGAACAGGTTTTTTAAAATTGATATTTTTGTTGTTGTTGTTATAGTTTTTTTCCTTCCTTCCTTCCTTCCTTCCTTCCTTCCTTCCTTCCTTCCTTCCTTCCTTCTTTCCTTCCTTTCTTTCCTTCTTTCTTTCTTTCTGGTAGAATCTTGCTCTGTAGGCCATGCTGGCCTAGAACTTGAGATTTTCCTGTCTCTGCCTCCTAAGCGGCAGGATCACAGATGTGCACCACCACTCCTGAGTTTCCGGTACTTGGGGATGGAGGATTAACATCAAGTATCTTCCTCAATCAATTCTCACCATATTTTGTTCTTGTTTGCTTGTTTTGTTTTTCCAGACAGGTTTCCTCAGTGTAGCTCCAGCTGTCCTGGAATTCTCTCTGTAGACCAGGCTGGCCTCAACCCAAGATATCCTCCTGCTTCTAACCTCCTAAGCACTGAGATTACAGGTGTGCGCCACCACCTCCTGGCTCACCTTGTTCTTTCTATGGATTTATTATTATTTATGCAGAGGGTATTGGGTCCCATAGAGCTTACAGGTGGTTGGTGATGAGCCTTCCCAACATGGGTGCTGGGAATTGAACTCAGGTCCCCTGGAAGAGCAGTCCAAGCTCTTTACCACTGAGCCATCTCTCCAGCCTCATCCCATTTTTTTTTTTTCTAAAGGTCACTCACCAAACCTAAAGATCACCAGCTCAGCTCTGCTGGCTAACCAGCAAGCCCTAGGGATCCTCAAGTCTCTGCCTCCCCAGTACTGGAATTACAGGAGTGAGCCACCATGCTCCGCTTTTTATGTTGGAGACAGAAATCGGAGCTCAAGTCCTCCTGACTTCACACTGAGAATTCTGTTGACTAAGCCATCTCCTTATCCCTTTTTAATGTTTTAAAAATCTAAATCAATACAAAATGAACCACGATATTCAAAATAATCTGGTGGACACAACAGTGAAATGTGGAATGAAGACAGAACCAACCATGGTTGTTTGCTTTTGCCTCAGGCTCCGGGACAGCTTGACTTAGCACTGTCCCTAAGCCCCCACCCCCACCCCATGTCACATCACTGTCCTCCTACTTAAGAACCAGAGAGGAAACAGATTGGTGTCTGTAAGCTTGGAGGGCATCGCTTTCAAAGGGGAGGAGTTGTTGTACAGAGAGTAGGTAGTGTTGAAAATGGCCACCTTTCCATCTAGGTGATGGGTTCCAAAATGTTGAGAGAGTAAAATTTTCATTTTTTTTTTAAATTTTAGAAATTGCATACTATTCAAAAGGGGGAAATAAAAGAATCCTGGGTTGGGGAGAAGTGGGGTCAGGATCAAGGCTAGTTCCCTGATGTCAATCTGGCCCCAGCTGGAATGCCTGGATGTCTGGCCTGCCCCACCCTCAACCCCAGTCATTTCCAGAACTAAGCTTTCTCCATCAAAGCCCCTCTCTGAGTCTTGTCTCTAATCTACCTCCCAACAGCAAGGCCCGGATCCTGTCCACTGCTTAATGGTTCCCCTGTTTGGCTTCCTTCATCCCTTTAAGGTCCCTGAGCAAGGATCATGTCAGTCTCTGGGATATGGTGCATCCTGTAACAAAATATAGCATATTAGAGCATCAACTCAGTTTGGCAAAAATAAGTCACCAAAGGCCCACTATTGAAAACTGATACTGGAACAAAGCATTGGGAGATGGTGAGGGAGAGCAGTAATGAACTCCAGGGCTGGGGGTGGGGAAAAAGGCAGAGAGAACTCTGAGGCACGTGCCAAAACAAGTCACCCAAGCCATAAAGGGGAAAGCCTCCTTGAGGGGCGACAGCTTGTGAGCTGGCCCCTGGGGAGGTCAGGTAGAGACACGTTCAGACTCTGCGGCTGGCAGGCATGGCTCTTGGTGGTTCTTCAAGGGCACAAGACTGGTACACCAACCTATCTCTGCTGCGGGGGGTCGGGGCGGCTTATTAGAGTCAACAGAGAATGGAGTTTGGATGCACTGTAAGAACTGCTGGGGACCCTGAGTGTGTGGGGGTGGGGAGTACTGATGCAGAGTCCTCATCTTCAACTCAGTTCAGAGTCTGAGCTCTCCTAGGGTCCAGACGCCCGAGGCTTCATGCAGCTTGCAGAGAAGTGAGGGAATGTGGAGATGGGCCCCGCCTGGCCAGCATTTCTCCCAGGAGACCTACTCACTAAGGTGTAGAGAGTTCCATTTTCGACTCTAGGGGGCTCTCTGCCACTGCCGCTGTCAGGATTTGCTCTTGGGAACAGGGGCTCCAGCAAATTGAGCCCAAAGATGGCCAAAACCTACCGGAGGAAATGCAAGCTAAGCCCAGAGCTAGCAGCCGCTGTCCACAACCTGCCGCTACTCTCACTTGTCCTTCTGAAGAAGGGCAGAGCTGGCACGGAGGAACAGGACTACCACCCCTTTCTAGCTTTCTCTTGAGGCTTTCTAGCTTTCTTTTAAGGGTCTGAGCACCCTCCGGTCCACCGAGAAGCAGACACAGGCAGGAGGATGGGCTGGCAGTGCCTTCCTACCTGGATTTGAGTCAGTAGTCATGGAGGACAGGAACAGAATTCTTTGGTTTGTCCTGGGGCCTGAGCACGCAGCAATAGCGACAAAGGGAAATAAGGCAACGGTTGGGGAGGGGGACAGGCACCTCAAATGGCCTTCACAGAGTTGCTTGGTAGCCTACTCCCTCCTACCCCTGTGCTGTAGCTTCGGAACCCCGGTGATGTGAGCTCACCTCTGTCACAAGTGCATCACAGCCAGAGCTCACCACGATCACGTTTACCAAGGTTTTTGTGAGGCAGATAACGCCTCTCTCCTTCCTCCTCTTCTCTCCTCTTCTTCCCTCCCCTCCTTCCTCCTCCTCTCCTCTCCTTCTTTCCCTCCCCCCCCAATGCAGAGAATGACACCCCGCTTAGACACTACATTCATTTTAAAAAGCCTGTGCCCACAGTGAGGGGAGACCCTAGAGACCAATGGGAAAGTTTCTCCAGATCTTTCCCAGCAGTCCCAGGCAGCCGCCCCTGAAGGCAGGCGGTACTGGAAAACAAACAAACAAACGAAAAACACCCAAACCAGTCCCAACCCCGATTCCTTGGATAAACCAGACAATCACAGCCCCAAGCTGAGCAAAGAAAACAACGATGCTCCAATGGCTTGTTGTAAACGGCCCTTGCAGCGGCTGAGTCAACCTCAGCTGGGGTTTGGGGCTTTGGGGTATGAGGTGCCTGCAAGGCAGTGGGTTTGGTGCCTGGTCCGGGGGTTGAGGGAGAGGCTGGAAAATTCCACAACCCACTCCTTTACCGTTCTCGGCTCAGTGTGCAGTCCCACCTGGGGGTTCGTGCTTCCCTGGCCATTTGCTGCCTAGCTTTCTCCTCTCCCTGAAATCCACCCCCCGCCCCGCCCCTCATTGTAAGCTAGGAGTTAGCGCTTTCACCCAACCTAACCCTAGCCCCAACAGGCATTTGTTCCGTAAGCTCGCACGCTATCCCCTTTAGGGTTGGAAGCTGAAAGCACCCACCACATTCTCTATGGATTCTCCGAATCCTAGCCGTGAGGGGCCCCTTAGCTCTTGCATCTTGACAGCCCGGTGTGAACTAACTTACTCCCTTATTCCTGGACCCTTTATCCACAGTGGCTCATTCCTTCCTCCCTGTTCTACTTGGCACCGGCTCGGTGATCCCCCACCACCTGCCTCCCACTTACCACCGCGCTGGGCAGCTGCGAACAGGAGGCCAGAAACGCCTTTGTTTCTTCTTTATTTGCGGATATAATTATTATGCACCGCACTCTAAATTAGAGATAGATTTTTTTTTCTGATATACATTTCATCTTATTCACCACGAGCACACCACACGCACAGAATACAGTTCCACAACCGGATACATTGCACAAGATGAGTTTGGGTTCCTGAAAACTGGCAGGCAAAAAAAACGGCCCCTGCCGCGGCTTCTCCGGATGGAAGTCGCCCGCCCGAAATGGATTTCCCGGTCAGCCTTTCAGGCCGCAAAGTTGAAAATGTCTAGGGCATGGGGAGCGCTCTTGCTGGAAATGGGCTGGGCGCTGTAGATTCCGAGCACTGAATGGCTGTGAAATGTCCCCCACCCCAACCCCAGGAGAAGTTTCCGAGCCTGCGAGCTGCGTGCGCCCCTTTCCCCTCCCCTCCCACCCCCGTCGGGTGTTTGGAGCCAAAGCTTCGAGGTGGAGGTGTTCCGGGGGGGACAGAGAATACCCTCCCTTCACAAATACGCTCCGCTCCCTATCCCTTCCCCCAAACCGGGGTGGCGTGGAATCGAAAGGACGACAGAAACGCAGACGCGGTGGCCCTTGGGCGTCTATCCCCTCCCCCACCCCCACCCCGTCCCCGAAGAATCAGCCACTAGGAACCAGAGGTGGTGAAAGCTCGGCCTCCCTAGCGCGGCGGAGCACGGGGCTGGGGGAGGGGGGGCTCCGGAGGTGGGGAGGGGAGAGGGGGGGGCGGATGTGAGGGGGAAGAGGGGCGGGCTGGGGCGGGAGCTGGGGCGGGGGAGGGTGGGAGGCAGGGCCCTCGCCCCCTAGTCCTCGGCGTTGGTTCGGTAGGCCTCGATGAGGCCCTCGAGTGAATGCACGAAGCCGGACACGCTGCAGATGCCGCCGATGACGAAGATGGCCACGTCGAAGAAGACCTGGTGCCACAGCAGCTTGCGCCAGAGCAGGCGCAGGTGGAAGAGGCTGGGCAGCAGGAAGCAGAGGCCGGCTCCGGTGAGGCTGCCCGTGAGACCCATGAGCAGGGCGAAGTGCGGCACGTAGATGGCCATGAGCAGCGTGAAGACGACCAGCGCGCAGCGCAGCGTCAGCCCCCAGGACTTGAGGCGCCCGTCGCCCCCGTAGCAGGCGGGGAAGAAGGCGCGGCTGCCCTCCTGGAAGAGCGACTTCTCCAGCACCTCCACGGCCGCGAAGAAGGGCAGCGGGTAGGAGAGCAGCGCCTTGGCCACCAGGAAGAGGTTGACGACGGCGCGGATGGAGCCGGGCAGGTTATCCGTGATCACCTCCTTGGTCTCGTCGGCCCAGGTGAGGTAGGCGACGAGCGCGAAGAGGCCCTTGAGCACGCAGGCGGCGATGTGCGTCCAGTTCATCATGCAGTGGAACTCGCTGGGCTGCTGCATGTTGCCTTCGAGCGAGGGCAGGAAGATCTGCGACGTGTAGCTGAACACGATGATGCCGATGGAGATGGGGAACTTCTTGACGTCGATGTAGAACTTCACCTTCTCCCAGGCCCAGTCGCGCGCGCGCGAGAGGCAGTAGGCGATGACCAGGATGTTGATGACGAAGTGGGCCAGCGTGCACAGCAGGCTGAACTTGGACACGGCCTTGAGGTTCTTCAGGAAGGCACAGGGCAGCAGCACGGCCGTGGCGATGATGGACCAGGACTTCTGCGACACGGGCAGCCCCGGGAAGCTGTTGTACATGAGGTTGCCGCTCACCACCACGTACAGGATGCACGTCATCACCAGCTCGATGATCTGCGCCACGTTGACCACGCGGCCGCCCAGCGTGGGGAAGCGAGGGGCGCAGCAGGCGTTCGCAATGGCCACGTACGAGTCCCTCACGCGCACCACCTCGCCGTCTTCGTTCTCCTCGTACAGGCACGCGATGAGGATCTTACCCGTGTAGCAGCACACCACCGCGGCGAAGATGATGAGGAACAGGCCCAGGTAGCCGCCGTGGAGGATGGCGTAGGGGAGGCCGAGCACGAACATGCCCTGTGGTGCAAAGAGGCAACCAGACCCTGGGGCTCAGACGCTGCGGCCTTCGAGGGGGACCCGGAGGAGGGGGAGGGGGGACAGCCCAAAACTATCGCTAGGGGGCGCTGGGGGGAGAAAGCCATCCCTAAACCGGCAGAGGGAGAGGGTGAGGGTGAACGCTCGTGCAAGGGGCCCTCAGGCAGGATCCGGGTGTCAGGTCAGAAGGAAGACCGGCGCCTGGGGAGTACGGAGGAGGCTGAGGGTAGAGAGGGAAACAGAGATGCTTTCTGTGGCTGCGAATGGATGGCGGTGCAACCAGAAGGGATGGAGCACAGCGACTAGGTGCAGGGACCCAGAAGGGCGCTTTGGGAAGCTCTGGGGAACTGGACGCTAGAGTCGCGGTGGCCTGGAGTGGGAGGCTTATTAACGCGGGAAACCCGAGCGTCTAAGGGCCAGACCAGGAGAGTCGAGGTCGGGTAGGGAGGAGCTGGCTGAAAACGGAAGGAGGCCAGAAAGGAAGAGACATGCAGACGCTTTGGGTAGGCACAGGACTTGAGGGGGACCGAGAGGGAGCGGGGATGCTGGCTTGGAAATAAGAAACCCTGGGACAAGGCTGGAGTTGGGACGAGGGCGAGCCCTAAAAATGGTATTAAGTGGGGTATGCTGGCGGGGGGGTGGTCACAGTAGGGACCCTTCCAAGCCAGGGAGCCCTGCCGCTGCGGAGAAGCCTAAGCCAGAAGCTCTGTAGCACCCGAGGAGATGGAAACGCCGAAGCTGCGCAGTGTGCTTTATAACTGACACCGAGAAGAAAAGCTAACGAAATCCAGGGCTCCCGAGGTCTGCCAGCCTCCTGCCTACCTTCCGGCCTCTCTCCAGCTACAGACAGACCCTTGAAAGACCCGGGGAGAAGCTACCCGGCCGCAGCAGAGGCCCCGCGAACTCCAGCCCAGTCCTGTGTTCTGTCAAGCCTGTCTTGTCTGTAGCTGGTGCGGTAGAGTATCCTCCGTATCCCGCCGAGTCTGCGGTCCAGGGAAACCCAGCTGTTGCCTGCCACCCTCCCCCAAAAAACCCTGTGTTCTCTGTCTCAACGATTCCACACTCCGTAGATGCTAGGCAGCCGAGACCCAGAGCCCAGGGGCGCCCAGAATCGAAGCCTCCTCCCTCCCCGAAGCTGGGACCCGCCAACCCCCGCCAGCCCCCAGGTTCGTTTTGTGAACTCCAAATCCTTTAGCTGCGGAGCCCGGTGCTCCCGGGGGGAACGGGATTGGGCTCGGGGTCGGTAATAGGGGTCACAGATGGCGGGTTTCTCGGGCCCTGGAGCAGCCTGGCCGGCCCACGGGGGAGGCCCTCAGGCTTCTGCGGCGCAGCCGGGATTTCGCGCGAGAGGAGCTGGTCTTCGCGGCCTCACGGCGCAAACACCGTAGGGGCCCGCGCACACCGGCCTGCATGGCTCCAACAGCGCTGCAGGAGCTCAGAGGTGCCGTCTGCCCGAGTGTGCGCTTGTGTGTGCACGCCTAGTGCGAGCTAGTGCGTGGATAATTGCTGCTGTTGCGGGGCGTCTCGGGGTACAGGCAAGTGTGTTTGGGGTGACTGCGAAATGTAAACAGATGCGTGTCCTAGGCCTGTTTGCTGGCAGGGTAGGATGCTGATGGCGCGTGTCTGCCTCTGTACCTGTGCAGGACTTCTGCGCGCGTCGGGAGGAGGAGACTACCAGCTCAGCCGTCCCCCCCCCGCCCCCCACCCTCGTCCTCTGGAAAACGCAGCTGTGGCTCCTTTCCGGAGCCCCAAGGCAAACTCCTTCCTTCGGATCCTGATTTTCTGTCTCCCTCATTCCCCTCCCTCCCTTAGGCCCTTCCCCACCGTCTCCAGCGTTTGCAGGATTTCTGGATTTGTGCCCCCCCCCCACCTCCCCCAAACCCCAGCCGGGCTGTCCTGCAAAGGGAGGGGGGCAGCAAGAGGAGGAGAGTGAGGAGAGTGTGTGGATCTGTGCAAGACACCAGCCGGGGGCGGAGATCCCCGCACAGCTAGGAAGGTCGGAGAAGGGGAGCCCTGGCCGAGGGGAGGGGGCACGGCAGCCCAGAACTCCGCAGGGCTCCTGTGGGGGCAGCGCCTGGCGAGCAGAGCTCGGGTGGGGGCGAAGGTGGGGGCCGGCGGAGCCGGGAATCCCGCGCTCACCTGAATGGCGTTCGTCACGTTCCAGCCCGCCTCCCACGCCGTGATCTTGGGCTTGTCGTGACCCCCAAACTCGCCACCTACGGCCTGGTCCTTGGAGCCGGAGGGCGGCAGAGGAGCGCCGCCGCGCTGGTAATGGATGTCTCCCTCGACGGGAGGCTCGGCGCCCTCGTCCCCGCAGGGCTCGCCCTCGGACTTCAGGATGTCCATCTGCAGGCCCTGGCGGTGCTCGAAGTCGAGGTCGTCGCAGTGTGCGAAGCCCACCGCCTCCTCATCCGTGGCCGCCTGAAAGCCCATCCTGGCAAACATGCCGCTCACCTTGGCCTGGGACTTGTTGGACACGGACGTGGCCACGTTGGTCAGCTTGCTGCGGAGCAGGGTGGCCATGGCAGCGACCGGACGGGAGGAAAGGACAGGAAGGTCTGGGGACGCGGCGGGCGCGCGTCAGGGCAGCTTGGGCCGCTACCTCCGCTGGCTCTCGGCGCGGCGCCCCGGGGCGCTCTGGCTCATGACCCTTGCGCAGGGCGTTCGAGGCGGGCTCCTCCCGGCGCGCTAGGCTGACTCTCGGTGGGACCGGCCCGGGAGGCGACGAGTGCACTGCAGAGCTGGCGCGGGTGCCGGCTGGGCTGCGGAGGGCGGCGGCGACGGCGGCGTCAGAACGGCGACGCGAGGCTGGCGCGGCGCCCCCACGCGGGCGCAGCCCAATGCGCCCGCGCCCCTCGGAGTCAGGCGGTGCGTGGGCGGAGGGCAGCTAGGGGATGCTGCCCGAGCCAGGGGTGGGAGTGGGGGTCGGGAGGTGGGGGGGCACGGAAGGTTTCGGAAGCGCGACAACGGCTGGAGAAGGGCATCCCTTGGGGAGGCGGCGGGAAGGGGCACGCGAAGGCCGGGGTGGGGGCCCCCAAGTGCTGCATTTCTGGAGGAGGTGCTAAGCGGGCGTCCTGGCCCGTCCCACCTCGCCGCCGCCGCAAGGAGGGAGGAGTTCGTTGTGGGCTGGTTCTCAAGGTCCCCCACCCCCGGACCAACCCTCCAGAGTCCCCAAGCTGTGCGGGCCCCAGATCCTTTAGCTAACCGTCGGGATAACCATCAGGACAGTTGCGGGTCTCTAGAGGAGCCAGCCGGGCGGGCCTCTGTTTGCCTCCCTGCCATCTATCATCCGCTCTTAAATCTGGCTGCCAAGTCCATCTTGATGACAGAAGTGACCGTCTTGGATCACTTTTAAAGACGCTCAGCGCCAGGCTGAACCACCTGAGCTGTTTCTGCCGTCCAGGGGTGCCAGGATGGAAGCGGGTGGCTTGCCACCAATTGCTCTCCAGATGCGCGCAGAGTGGAGGGCTGGCTGTTGGCCTTTTTTCCCCTTTCTTTCTTTCTTTTTTTTTTTCTTTTCTTTCCTATGAGGGCTCGGAAGGAACGGGGAGGAACTCTTGAGGATGCCTCTCCGTAGCCAGTGCTTACGCTGAGAAGGGCAGGGTAGAGGAAAGGCGGGCGTACGACCCTGCGGACCAGGGCGCAGAAACGCCGGCGCTCTCCGCCAGGCTCGGATCACCGCCCCCCCGGACTGTGAGAGTTCGGGTATTTCTGTTGCGTGTGCGCGCGCGAGCAGGAAGACGAAAGAGATCCAGAGACAAAGACATCGCATCAGATACCGGCTGTGGGTTGGCGCTGTGTGAACTCTGAGCGTGAGGTTTGGAAACCGTGCGTATTCCGTGTGGGGTTTTGTGCGCAGTGGATTCTCCGGGCGGAGATGGTGCTCCTGAATAGAGTTGCCTGCGTGGGTGCGGGCGAGAGCCCCTTTGTAGTCCCCAGAAGGTGCGGGTCGGCTGCGGCTGCTTCGCTGCTCCGTGAGGGTCCCTACCCACGTCCCTAGCGGGGTTCTCTCTCTTAACTCCTAAGCCCCAAACCACCGGATGGGACCAGCCTAGTTAAAGGAGGAGTGGCGTCGTCCCACTCATTTCTTTCAGCCAAAGAAAGCTGAAAGAAATGAAAATGACTCCCACCCCTCTTCCTCCCTCTCTCCCTGGGAACCCAGTCTCCACTTCCCCTGTCGTATTTTTAGATTAGCTCAGGTCAGCGCACAAGTAGGTCGGCCTGAGGGCTTTGACCAGCGAGTAGAAGCTGCCAGGACCGGACGGGCTACCCCTAGCCCCTCCCCCTTCGACTCAAACACCTCACATTCTCTGGAAGAGGTCTGCATCCCGGGTAGGGGACCTCCATACATTGGACAGAATGCTCATCTCTCTCCAAGCGCCCCTGCCCTCACGTGCTCACTGCAAAACCTTCACCATCTGCCAAACCAAGCCCCAAACCCTTCTTACCAGCATGGCCAGTTCTGCTCATCCCTCGCCACTTGATAGGAGCAAAGACAGGACAGAGAGACTCTTTGTCTGTAAGGAGTAAGCACAGACACCTCACCTTCCCAAAAGGCTTTGAACAAAAGACCCTCCCTCCCATAGGTTCCCCCAGATAAGGGTTTCACCGCCCTGGCCCCCTTTCCTGAAGGAATTCCTTTGGCCCACCCCACCTGGAATATCTGTGCAGAGAGACCTAGAGCCTTTGCAGTGACCTCCTATGGCCCTCAGCTCACACCTTAAGAGGCCCATGGATCCCTTCTTTGACAAGCAGGTCCAAAGTCCCGTAAGTTCTCTTTCATTGTTTTCCTAAGGTGTTTTTGTGTTAGAGGACCCAGGGTGGCATGTAGGGTTCTTTTATCGGTGAGAAATGGAGCCATTTATTTAGTCACTTGTTCATTGCACTTTTTTTTTTATCACCCTCACTGTGCATGGCTACTCTGTTGAAATCACCAGAGCAAGTGGTTCCCCCCCCCCCTTACTCCTTACCCCCAGTTCTTGGCTCTGAGACCCGATTGTGAGACAGCACTTGACTTATCCCGTCTTTCATCTTCAGATATCTTGACAGGGCCTCTTTTCATTCCTAATTTTACAGATAAACACACCCATGTCCCTGCTATGCAATGAAATGTCCTGTTCAAGGTCATCCAGAATCCAAGAGAAAGCCAGGAAGGTAGAACCTGGGAAGTTAGATGATCTCCCCAGAATACCTTACCCTATGTAAACTCCACCTCATCCCCACCCCCGGCTGTTGCTTGGTCTTTGATCCTTCACTGCCCAGAGAGATGAAATCCAAAATCAGATCTCAGATCCTCTGGCTAAAACGAGCTGCCAGCAGTTGAGGAAGGAACTTCTTTTCCTGCTGTTTGCAATAAATGGTTCTTCCCAGGCAGGAAGTGGCTGTGGCAAGCTCCCAAGCATCCCAGTCACTTACAGGATAATCCCACTTCATCGTATCCCAGTTCTGGGTGTTGGACTATCTCCCTAATTCCTCTTATCCTCATTTTCTCATCCCTAATGGGTGAGGGCATATAATTACTCAAAGAATTAAAAAAAAAAAAACCTCTTGTATACAAAATGCTTAAAGTGTATTTTGTACCTAATATGTGGCCTCTGGTTGTTACCATACCCAGTTGCCACTTATTTTTGTGCAGGGGAAGGGGAACAACGGTAGGTGTACCAAAAGCATGCGGCTGGGTCTGAGAGTCTGAGCAAAGAGGACTAGAACATTTTTTGTCTTAGTCCCGTCTGCCTCCATCCCTGCCATTACTAGTTCTGAGTTGATCTGGAGATAGGTCAGGGAATGGTGGTAAGAAAGAGGGCTGGGAACATGAGACTTGGCAGGTGACCTCAGGAGGCCGAAAGACTAAGCTAACTGATGATGAGTTGGGCTGTGCTCTAATGAAACCAGTTCTATGATCCTTAGTAGAAACACAGCATATATGCATACATGCTCTCACATGCATACTCATACGTATATTCATACACACACATACAATGATAAACCAAGTGAAGAAGACAGGGAGAAATGAGGACCAACCTATAGATTCAAATACATTGAGAGACTCATGCCGATTGACAGAACTGCATACAGATCAAGGACAGCCCAGCACACAGACAATACAAGATTTGTACCAAGACTGGCCACCATACAAAGAAACAAAGAGGATTCCTTGTCATAGGCAGATAACGGGATCAGACACACGTCAACACAAGGGTAGGAAAACACACGGAGAATCATACACAGGCAGGCTCCCAGACATGAGGTCATAAACATACAGAAAGACACATGATTCACACTGAGAACAACACTCAGGAACACCCTTACATGACCACTGATTGTGAAGAAGTGAGAACAAAGGAGGAGAGGGGAAGGAAGACAAAAGGAAACAAGAAGTCAAAGAGACTGCCAGGCAGAGCTGTTAGCCAGCAGGGCACAGAAGAGGCAAAGGTGCCACAGTTTTTCCCTCTGACCTCAGATCCTGTGACTAGGAAATGGGGAGGGAGGGCTTGTGGGGGAGAGCTGGAGTCTTAGCTGCCCTGTCTGAAAGCTGATAACTTCTCTTAAGTGCACCATGGCTTCCCACTGCCATGGGGGAACCTGGGTTTACTGACAGAGCATACATGAGGGTTCCCAGGACTCCTGAGAAGCCTGGCAATTCAGGGATTATGGATCAAGATTCTGGGGTCCAAGTGAAATGCGCCTCCTCTCCTGATGCATGGACACCATCCATGCATCATTAAAGCCTTTTGGTACCCAGGGAGTTAAACGTCTGCCTGTTTCCCCAGCAGAAATGAAGACACTTTGGGGGAAGAGGTAGGGTTAAATAGAACTGGGCTTATCTCCCAGAGCAGGCAGTGACATGGGGGAGGGGGACCTGGAGCCCTTGAATTAATGGCCTGGAAAGCCATCATCATGAGCATCATTTCGGGGCTGAATGGTCACAGACAGACCCCCTTTCTCAGCCCCCATTGTGGTTCAGAGCCCTTCTTTGCCTTTTCTGTCCATGAGCCTTTCCCTGCTGAGGGGACAGGCTCTGACACCCAGGTGGTTGAAGCATTTTAAGGTTTTTCCAATGGCAGAAAGGAGCCATGTGTTCTTGCCCAAAAGCAGAACCTAATTTCCTCATGCTATGTCCACAGATACAAAGGGGGGGGGGGCAGACAGCCAGGCACAGTACACACATGGAACAAAGATCTGACTCTGCCTTCCGCGGGACAGATAGAGGGTGTTCAGGCCGCCTTTGCTGGTTCAGGATAAGACGCAGGCAAGTACATTAATGACTGTAAACCTAGAAGGTTTCCTTGCTGAAGTAGAGATATATCCTTTCCCGGGGACAGCCAGGCAGAAGCTGAATGTTGTATCAGGGACAATGCCCAAGAGGGACTAGAGTTCATGACTACTGGGCTTCTATGTTCGTGCTTCCTGTGATGAGAGCTCTGGGAAGCCACAGAGGGGCAGTGGGAGCAAGGAACAGGTGGGCACAGTCCTTGCTCTTGGCAGTCCTTACAGCCACAGGAAGCTGCCCAGAATTGAAGGAAGAGCCCTGGACCTGATTGGTGGGTAAAACCAATGGTGCTCTCCTTTGTGAAAACACAGCCTTCCTGTCATGTGGGGGCAGGGGCAGGTAGAATGCAAACATGTCAGTTTTATTTCTCACTGTCTCCCACACTCAGCATAAATACTTATTTCAGGTTGATTTAAATCATCAAGGAAACATATGTAACCTAAAGGTTTAAGTCTGGTCCTAATTTCTGACTTTTCTAACTCTTCAAGGTAGATGTGGCTTTCTATCCTCACATTATC